CATCCTTGTTCAAATTCTCTAGCTTTCTTTGAAAAAGGCAAAAATTTTACACATAATACTTTTTCAAATTAGCTATGTTCCATGACCTGGAAAGTGACCGGCCTTCAGCGTCCTTCAGCAAGTACGCTCCTCCTGCGTGCACTCGCTCGACCAGGTATGGTCCTTCCCTGTTTGGCTCTAGCTTCCCCAAATGTTTGAGCACGTCGACACGCTTCCAAACCAGGTTGCCTACTTGAAGCCTGCGAACTTTTACTTTTTTGTCATGAGCGGCTCGCATCCTCTGCTTGTATGCTTCCACTCTGATCGCTGCTCTTTCGCGCAGCTCCTCAATGGTGTCTAAAGCCGCCATCATCAACTCTTCGTTTTGTCTCGGGTCATATGTGCTCGATCTTTGTGATAATAACTCGACTTCCACTGGCAGCAGTGCTTCCACCCCATAAACTAGACTGAAGGGAGTTTCTCCTGTTGTCGACCTTGGGGTTGTGCGATACGCCCAAAGCACCGAGGTTAACTCATCGACCCATGCCCCCGAGGCCTTTTCCAGCCTTGTCTTCAGCCCGCTCAGTATAATTCGGTTGGTTACCTCGACCTGGCCATTGGCTATCGGATGAGCGACAGATGCAAAGTGTTGCTCGATCTTCATGTCCTCACACCATGCTCGAATCTGCTTGCCGTTGAATTGAGTACCGTTGTCGGATATCAACACTTTAGGGACGCCAAATCTGCAACAAATATTATTGTATAAAAATTTGATGACCTTCTCCTCTGTGATCTTTGCCAAGGGCTCGGCCTCTACCATTTCGTGAAATAATCCACCGCCACAATTAAGAACTTCCTCTGCCCCGTTCCTTGCGGCATTAGCCCGACCAAGTCGACCCCCACTGAGCAAAGGGTATAGGGGCACTCATCATTGTCATCGCCTCTGCAGGTTGATGGATAAGCGGGCCGTGCTTCTGACATTGTAAACATTTTTTTACCATCACCTTCGCATCTTCCTTCATCGTCGGCCAGAAGTATCCCGCCCTAAAGATTTTTGCAACCAAGGCTCCCGATTTTCTATGGTCACTGCAACACCCTTCGTGCACTTCTCTCAGCACATATCGGCCTTCTTCCTTAGTCACACAACGTAAATACGGCTCAGCATACGACCGTTTATAAAGAATGCCTCCGTGCTCAAAAAATCTTCTCACTGCTTTTACTGCCCCCTCCTTCAAATCTTTCAAAATCGGGGCCCTCCAGTCTTTCACTTCCTCAATCTCCGCCACTTCCGCCTTGACCACACTGCTCTCTAGATACAATAGAGTAATGCTTCTGCTCTTACAGTCCATCAAGCTTTGAGCAATTTTTGACAACAAGTCTGCTCGACCATTCTCCCCTCGAGGGATCTGTATCAGCTCGAATGATTCAAACTCCTCTCTCAACTTCTTCATCTCGTCCACGTACTTCTGATTCTCCTTAACCTCAAATCCCTCCTGAAACTGCCCAACTACCAGCTGGGAATTTGAATGTACCAACACTTTTCGGGCTCCTCCCACCATGGCTAACCGTAGGCCTTTGATCACCGCTTCATACTCAGCCTCGTTATTAGATATCTTGAATCCCACTTTGGCTGCAAACTCTAGGTAATCACCCCCAGGAGAGACAAGGACAATTCCCAATGCAGCCCCACTTCTCGCCACAGATCCATCCACAAACAACTGCCATACTCCTCCAGACTCCTCCTCGACCTTAGTCCCCTCCTGAATAAAATCGGCCAACACCTGCGCCTTTATAGCTCTCCTTGGTTCATACAACAATGAGTATTCACTTAACTCGACCGCCCATTTTACCAATTGACCAGAAATCGATGGCCGGCCAAGCGTTTCTCCCAACGGCATGTTCGTCCGCACCTTCACCTTATGATTTAAGAAATAAGGCCTCAATTTTCGAGCAGTTACCACCACCGCCAGCACACACTTCTCAATCTCCGAGTATCTCATCTCCGCTCTCTGCATCACCCTGCTCACATAATAAATAGGGAATTGTGCTACCCCTTCCTCTCGTAGTAACACTGAACTCACGGCCCTCTCTCCGATGGAAATGTATAGCACCAACTCCTCGCCTTGTACTAGTTTAGCCAATAAGGGAAGGTTGGCCAACACCCCTCGAAGATCCTTAAACGCCTTTTGCGCTTCCTCGGTCCACTGAAACTTCACACTCTTTTTTGGTGTTTTGAATAATGGGCCACTTTTTTCGCCACCTTCGATATGAAACGGCTCAACCCAGCGATTCGACCAGCCAAGATTTGCACTTCCTTGACATTCGTTGGCGACTTCATTTCCATCACTGCTCGCACCTTCTCTGGATTCACCTCGATACCTCTCTTGGTCACCAGGTAACCCAAGAACTTTCCCGACTTCACTCCGAATGAACATTTGGCTGGATTCAGTTTCATGTTGTGCCTCCTCAAAGTCAAGAACGTTTCCCTCAAGTCCCGCACATGATCCATCTCCTATTTTCTCTTCACCAACATATCATCCACATAGACCTCCATGTTTCTCCCCAACTGCTCCTTAAAAATCTTGTCCACCAACCTTTGATACGTGGCACCTGCATTCTTTAGGCCGAACGGCATCACCACGTAGCAATAAGTTCCTCAACTAGTCACGAAGCTCACCCTCTTCCTGTCTTCTTTCGCCAAGGGAATTTGATGATACCCTTGCGAGGCATCCATCAGGCTCAGCAGCTCATACCCCGCCGTTGAATCGACCAGCTGGTCGATTCTGGAGAGTGGATACAAATCCTTTGGGCACGCTTTGTTTAGATCACGGAAATCAATGCCCATTCTTCATTTTCCGTATGCCTTCGACACCATCACTGTATTTGATAACCATTCCTGGAATTGAATCTCCTTGATATGCCCTGT